GGTTTCTTTAACAAGAACAAACTGGCTTCTGGATTGCTTATTTCCTTTTGCCTGTCATTTCCATCCCAGCACATCCATTTATCTCTCTTTGCCTTTTACTACATCCTGACTTTGCAAAGGAGGAGGAAATAGTAAAAAGCAAGACTAGAATATCTTAGTTCAGTGTTTCCTAATCTCAGTTATTTTAAGATGAATGGATTTCAAACTCCCAGAATTCTCCAGCCAGCACGCTATCTGGAGAATTCTGGGGGTTGAAGTCCACTCAACTTAAAGTGGCTCAGGTTGAAAACACTGCCTTAGTTGATGATGGGTATTGTGCTTTACTGAACGTGGTAAGAAAAGGACGAAACCGCAAAGAATCACATTCCTGCAGTTGAAGTACTGGAAAATGCATTCAGGGCCCTTTCCTATAGCAGCTCTTCTCCCACTTCCCACCTAAGCTACTTAGTGCCCAAGGAGGAGAAAAAAACTGAACAAAAAAGTGTGATGGAGCAGCACAAATTTTAAATTAGAATGCAGCAGAGGTCAAAGTTTTATTCCCACAGCTGTAGCAGCAAGCACCCCAGCCTATCTGGAATTCCAGTGTCAGCTCCCCACGCACACCCACTCTACAAACCATTTGCATTAGCGCTTTTATTTTTGCTGAGTTAACCTCGTTAAATCCAGGCCATTCCTGGATATTCAGTGGAGAGAGCTTGTGCTGTGAATACATGCTTCTATTGAGCCCAAGATTAAGTCTTTAACCCATATAAGGGAGGCGGTTATATACCGGTAGTTGGACAAATGAATTGCACAAAGAGCTAAATGGGTATCCTAGGAAGGGAAGATTGGTCTTTCTTGGAAAAAAGCAAAGTTCTTTTTTGATACTTTTGTTAACATCTTGAGAAAACCAGTGGAGTACAGTATATCTACTGTAACAGATCTACCTTTACAACCACATGTGAGAATTAACTCTGACTCCTTATCTTATGAGTCAACAGCTGGAAGGGAAACATAACTTGCCTATTATAGTAATCGGCTGGATTTTTGCAACAGAGGTTAGCTTTGAACACAGTTCACCTAGTTTTAATGCCGTGTGGTCTCTAGGCAGCCTTAGGCAAACAACTCTTTTATAACTTAATTTACCCTGCAAGACTGATGCAAAGATAATAAAATCACAAAGTGCTTTCATATACTCAGAGAAAGGGGTAGAACCAAGTTTGTTAGTACCGTATTAAAGGACCTGCTTTAAAATGTGAAACAATTTTTTATAGTTGTACAACACAGTTGCTTTTTCCTACAATCAGGGATGCCTCATATCACATTTAAGACTTGGTCTTTTCTTTAAAAAGGTGAACCTACACTATTGGAATATTTCTTTTGCATTTTAGACGTGTTCAGCCCCAAGCTGACTGGCTGGTATTGGAAAAACCAAAGCAGGCTAACTCTAACCTGATTAATCCTCTGCTGGGAACTCACCAGAAAAGGACAGTGGGCTGTAGGCTAAATTTGGAGAAGATGCTAATGATAAACCAGTTCCATACTGTTACTCATGTCCGTGTAATCACCAGGGAACAAGTTCAACACTTTTATCTTACTCTGCATTTTAATACATATTTATTTTGCTTTGTCTTATTTTTCTCTCCAGTATCTTAAAGAAACCTTTCACAAGCTTGTATCAGTTTCATAACTAGCTTGGTCTAGTCTAGTGGTTAAGGCATCAGGCTACAAAGCAGGAGACTGTTAGTTCAAATCGCATCATAGCAAGGAAAACCAGCTTGGTGATCTTGAGTCAGTCACTCTCTCAGCTTGCTGCCTTGAATTATTTGTAAAAAATAAAGGCGGATACAAATAAGTAAATAAATAACGAGATAAAGCAAAAGGAATAGTTATATTCTTTTATGAGGTTGTTATGCTGAATGTTTTCAAAGCTACATTAGATTTGAATTTTATTTAGCTGGTGCAACAGGAAGAAGACATCTCACAAGGACGATGTTTCTAAAACAGCAGCTGAACTTAATAGCTACATCCCTTCACCTTTCTTTGATACCAAATACAGTGTTGCTTCAAATCCCACTAACAATTAAGGCTTTCCTTTCTACTGCTGTTTTCAGCATTAATAAAATCCAGAATTCAATCAAATTAATGGTGTATTTTAACATCAAAATATTGCATGGTTCCTCCTAATTAGTTACAGTACTGTGATTCAGATTTTTTCATTGTTCAGTTTGAGAAAATAAAAATAAACTTAAGTTGCCAAAAGCGTACAACCAAGTTTATGTATCATAATTAAGATGTCAGACCTTACCTTGCCTAGTTTAGGGAGGAAATGGGTCCAGAAAGCTCTATCACTATTTATTAGCACAGAAATAGTTTGGGAACTGACACACCCAAAATCAAACAATCCATATTATAGTTTGTTGCACTGTATGAATCCAACCAATGGCTAATCTACATATTATACTAACCCATGCTTTATATGATCATACATGCTGAATGTCATAATTTGATATGCAAGCCAAAATACTCCATAAATATCAAACCACAATGATTAGATCCATATATTGTATTATATCAAAGCAAATAAATCACATTATGGCTTGACATGGGTCAATCCAGCAAATGTGTCCATAGCTCACCTGAAATTTGTATTTAACATTTTCGGTTTTCATCCAAGCGTAAGATTTTTGCCATTGTATTATTCTAAACTAAAATACTGAACTGGAGGAGCTTCTTGAATGAGAAGCAAAACATTTTCAAGGAGGAAAAAAACCCCAAGAAAGCCTAGTTGCCTTTTGAAAAGCACTTTTGGGACGACTATGACCTGGATGATTGACAATCTCCACAGATATTCTAAACTAACATTGCCATTCAACATTTACACACTCTGCAAGTCTGTCTATTGCCAAGTAACTATAAAACATATTTCATTGATAATGTAATAGAGTAACGATGACACACTTATTCAAGAACACCCAGGTAAAAGCCCCGAGAGTTCTGTACTCTCTCAGAAAAGTAGGGTGCGGCCAGCCATGAGGACAAAAGCTTGACAGTACCTACCCGACCTTGGCTGATCTCAGCAACTAAATAGGGTCAAATCAGGCCTCTACTTAGACAGGATAGAAAATCCCTGTTTTACAAAGTGTCCTGGGAAAACAACCTCCCCCACCCCAATATTCTCCCTCAAAAGCCAAGGGAAATCATTTCCGTATTGCTGCCCAGAAAACTGTGGACATGCTTGTGAAAACACCACTTAACCCAGAGGAGATTATCTTATTAAAATAATTTAATTCAGCATTGTTTAGTTTACAAGCATTTGATTGCTTGCAGAAATTACTGCCATGCCCCTGCATTTATATTCATCATTTTCAATTTGTTCCAATACAATTATTTCCCTTAAATTAGCATCTGAATGAGAACATCAACATTTACAGGATTACATTTAATGAAGAATTATATGTAACGTAATAAATATACATCTATGCTCTGATAGACGAGTTTGATTTTTACACATTAAACTATGGTTTAATCACTATTGGCTAAATAAAGCTGCAATTATCTAGGTTGAGAAACAGTATAACTTTGGTTTATAAACCCCAATCACTCATGTTGAGCCCCAACTGTGTTATATCTTAACTTGATGTGCAAACCCATCTCTTCCCTACCGCCTTAAAATAATTCCTTGCATTTGAGAGGTATTGGTCCCTGCATTAAACAGAAGCAACCCAGACTGGCTGTTTCAAGATGGGAACTGGTTTCCAGCAGGCAAAAGGTGATTTTCAGAGCCACTGATCAGGATGTTTCATAGAAGGGATTGCAAACACATGTCTGCAGGGATCTGACATAACAACATTCCTGAACAGCAGGAGAGAGAGAACTGCAATTTTCAGTTCTAAGCACCCCCTCCCTCACTAACCAAACACAATCACTCCCTCTCTCAAAAGTTCTTTATCTTATTTTCAGGTTAATCAACTATCATCAAGTTTCCCCTCCGGACCAATTTTTTTTAGCCTCATCTAGTTATGTTCTCTTGTTGTTGGAAACAGCCACTGCTGCCGTTACTACATAGCTTTAGTTCAGATTAATTGATCCACGACAATCGAATGTCCTGGTTCCGATGCTCCTGATCACTACGAAATCCTTTTTCCCCCCAAATGTATGGCAATCCTGCGAATTCTGGGAGTTGTAGTCCCAATTCAATCCGGAGGAAACCAATTCGGAAACGGAGAGGGGAGGATTTGAAAGAAACTAGCCAGCGATCCTATAACAACTTTCAAGGAGGAAAAAAAAAATCCTTCCTAATCCCACGAATCTACGGCTTGTCTAGATAATTTTGTTCATCGGATACCTTTACGATTGATCAACTTTATGTAACTTTTTTTTTGAAAGCGTTCCTTTTTCGGCAGCGCTTTAAATCACAAAGATACGGATAGACATAAGTTTCCTAACCAAAAAAATCAGGAAAACTCAATACTGTACTTTTACGTGCCTCTTCGTAAGGTTCCCCAGCTCGGTGCGGATGTGGAAGCAACAGCTGTCTAAAGAATTCCGGACGCGCGGAAAGTAACTTTGATTTCGAGCCGACGAACCAAATACAAGAGAAGGAAAAAATAAATAAATAAATTCACGCCTCCCCTAACGGGTCATCAAGCGCGCGTAAAGGTAACAGCACAAAGCGATTTCCGCGTGGGCTGGTAAAGGTACTGCAGAGACCAGCGACTTTGAATAATTCCTGGGAAAGGAGGTGTCCACTAGGGCGGCAAGGACGCAGGGAAAACACCTGCCCATGTGGGCAAATGGGTTGGTCGGGGATGCAGCGATGCCAAGAGAAAAGGGGCGGCAGGAAGAAAGATGGAAGAAAATCCTCTTAATCGTTAATAAAGAGCCCGCACTGACCCCCTCCTAATCCGGCTGCACCTAAGAAGGAGCGGGAAACTTTGGATCGGATCCCCACACAGCCGCGAAAGAGGGGCGGCTCTCCCGAGAATTCCTTTTGGGGGGAAAGAAAGGGGAAAACTCACCCCAAAATTCCCAAAATTCAAGTCAAAGCGGCTCCGCCAGATCGCGCGCCGTAAACCCGGGCTGAAGTCTAGACCGATCCGCCAGGCAGGAAGCTCTCTCGACCGAAGATCGTTAGCTGGGAAGAGAAGGAGGAGTGGGGAAGCAGGCGGGTCCCCAACGCTCCGGAGAGGTGGAGACTCCGAGCCGCAAGGAGGGGCTGCCAGAAGAGCTAAGCGAAGCGACTCCTGCCTGCGGGACAATGATTAACTTCGAGCTACCTGCGCCGCCGCGCTCGGTTCCTCCGCACCTTCGTGTGGGGCGGGGCGAGCCTTCGCTGCCGTGCCGTAGGTCGAGGCAATACCGTCGTGCCGCCCCGAAACTCTTCCTTCCCATCGCGATTTCAGAAGAAACGGCGAGAGCAGGAGCTCCATCACCTGCTCTGGAGGTGCGGATTTCCCAGTTTGATACACCGAATGTGCAACAAGGATACAACATGTTAAGATTCTTTTTTCGCACCGGCGTGTGGTGGTGGGGGGAATCCTCGGAGGTAGAAATCCCGGTGGCTTTTCATCGTTTCCTTTTTAAGGTCATTCTTCGCTAATGGTGTGTTGTTGTTGTTGTTTTTAATCCGTTTTGCCTTCACTCATCTGATTCAGGCGGAGAAGCTACAAATATTCCGGATTAAGATTTAGTATAGGTTGAGCTCAATAATAAATCATCACCATCCTTCTCATCATCCTGTTTTTGTCCGACTTTTTTTACATTGGATAAGTGGTAGCTTTGACTCTACCGTCTTACCAGAGATGAGCTCCGTATCTGTTGAGCTGTTGCTTTTCTTGCGTTCTGAAGTGCAAAAAGGCTTTCCTAGATTACAACCCTTCTCTAAAGTAAAACCATCATCTTGGATCAGTGCAGGATTTTAAACGTTGTTAAAAACTCTTCCCATTTGCTACATGGTACATAGTAATGACCCACACCTATCAGCCCATAATGGTTCTGGGAATATATTTTAGCAATGCTGTGCCAGAATTTTGTATCAATTCTTTCATGAATACACTTGGCCTTAGGTGAAATTGTCTGTTATAGGTAAAAGCTAACAATGTCATGATAATAGGATATCATATATTGTACAACGATTGAGCAGAATTTCAAAAGCTTTCATGCATTCTCCACTTAATGCAACTCTCAAAAGTTAACAATGAACGATGGTGAGAGGTTCTGTAACTTGAAAAAAATGTCAGAAAATTGAGATGAATCTCTTATTCATTGTAAACGTGAAAAGCTCAATGAAGTGGAAAATTTCCATTCAGTGGACTAAAATTTTGACCTAATTGCTTGAGCAAAAAGGGTCATTGTGCCAAGTGGTATCCCATTGTGAAGTTTCCATCTGAGGATGCTGTGCCTTAAGATCAAGGCACCCACCTGTGTCATGTTTCAAAGCCCACTATAAAACCACAGGAGCCAAATACTCCAACTTCACCTGTGCTGAAAATACTATTATATTACCAGGTACCATTCCTGTGGTCATTGGGGACATTATTTTTAAAATGCAGCTTGTGGCCACAAAAGATTGCCTCCCCTACGCTATGCCATGAGAATATGTAGTTGGGTTTTGAGGGGGAAAATCTTTATAAACAGTGGTTTATTTGGGGACAACAAACATGTTTTTATAATTCCTTGTTTACCAAATTGTTGCTTGTTTTAGTCATGGCTTCTGATTATAGCAGAACCAACATAATGGTTTTTGCTTGACTTATTTTTGATGTTTCATACTTTGACCAAACCCAAGTTATAGAAACTATCCTGCATTATAAAATAATAAAAGAATGTGCATGGCATAAACACACACACACACTCACACAAAATCTCTGCGGTTGCTAAGAGTTAACAATTACATTATGTTGGTTGCACAGTCAGCCAGATGTTTAGACTGGATTTCACATTTTTATCCACCTATTGAGCAGGGGCGTGACTTGGTGGTGGTGGGTAATGTGACTTGGTGGACATGGCCAACTTTTTTAAAAAAAAACTTTTCAAAGCATTTTTTTCTGCAAATGCAAAAAAATGCTTTGAAAAGCCTCTGCCGATCAGGAACACAACTGGGATCGTCAGAGCCTTTTCAAAGCATTTTTTAAACCACCTCTTCCGCTGAAGAGGTTGCAGAAAAAATGCTTTAAAAGTCTCTCTCATGATCCCAGCTGAGTTGCCTGATCGTTTTAAAAAATGCTTTGAAAAGTCTCTCTTGACGATCAGGCAACTCAGCTGGGATCATCAGAGAGACTTTTAAAGCATTTTTTTTCTGCAACCTCTTCAGTGGAAGAGGTGGTTAAAAAAAATACTTTGAAAAGGCTCTGACGATCCCAGCTGTGTTGCCTGATCGTCAGAGCTTTTTCAAAGCATTTTTTAATCACCTCTTCCCAGGAAGAGGTTGCAGAAAAAAATGCTTTGAAAAGCCTCTGACATCCCAGCTGAGCCAAGTGATCATCAGAGGCTTTTTTTTTTACTTTTAAAAGCATTTTTTCGGCAGAAGTTGTAGAAAAAATGCTTTTAAAAGTAAAAAAAAATAAGCCTCTGACGATCGTGCAGCTCAGCTGGGCATGGTGGGGGGGACGCAGGGATTTTTGCTACCGGTTCTCCGAACCACCCGCCGCCATCGCTACCAGATCGGGCGATCCGGTCCAAACCGGGAGCATTTCACCCTTGCTATTGAGTCTTTTCCAAGGACCTGCTATAGACAAATCTTGTTTAATAATATTAACGGTATAATTGCAAGATGTAAGAAGTTCCAAGAAAAGCTGCCTTTTGAAATTAACTGATGGTGATTTTGTCAATGCTAATGGTATTCATGTGGTACTTCAGATGTTTTGGAATTGTACCCAAAGGAGCCTATCACTATTGGTACTATCTTTGCTTTCTTTTTGCCACTTAGTATCTTTTTCTTATTCCTGTTGTTGTTAGTTGTAAAGTCATGTCCAACCCATCATGACCCCATGGCCAATGTTCCTCCAGGCCTTCCTGTCCTCTACCATCCTCTGGAGTCCATTTAAGCTCACGCCTACTGCTTCAGTGACTCCATCCAGCCACCTCATTCTCTGTCATCCCCTTCTTCTTTTGCCCTCAATCTTTCCCAGCATTAAGCTCTTCTCTAGTGAATCCTTCCTTCTCATTAAGTAGCCAAAGTATTTGAGTTTCATCTTCAGGATCTGGCCTTCTAAAGAGCAGTCAGGGTTGATCTCCTCTAGGGCTGACCGGTTTGATCGCCTTGCAGTCCAGGGGACTCGCAGGAGTCTTCTCCAGCACCATAGTTCAAAGGCCTCAATTCTTTGGCACTCATCCTTTCTTATGGTCCAACTTTCACAGCCATACATTATTCTTGTTGCCAACTGCCAATTCTTACACTTATGTCTATAACTGTGTTTGGTTCCAAATTCAAGTAATTATCAATTTCAAAATTATAATTCCTTGCCAAATTAAACCTTATATAGCTGTACCTGAAAATATGCTATAGATAATTATTCTGTCAGTAGTATCTGCTATCATAATTTGATTCATTTTGAATTAGGTGGCTATGATTCCATATTGCCTAAGCATTGCAACAACTGTTACATTTAAATCTGGCTTGCAAAAAATCAACATCAGTCACTATTTCTATAACAGGAAGGGAGAAGCTAAAGGTTTGGGGTCAATCCTGAGGACAGCTCTGCATAACAATGAACTTGCTTGAACCTAGTTGTCATATCAGAACAAAACAAGTCCATCCATCCTTGCCCTTAGTAAGCTTTCTCCCATTCAATGTTTCTGTGGTAGTTTATGCTAAATTATGGCTCCTCAATCCTAACCCTGAGATCCATTGTATTTAAGATTGTAATTAATAGGAGATTCAGATTTTCCATTATTTGTTTTGCCTTTTTTATTAGTTTGTTTACCCTATGTATTTTATATATCAACTATTAATCATGATAGCTCTGATTTCCAAATCTGATGTGCTTCAAAAGTTTTCAGACTGCAACTCTTTTTAGGTCAGCATAAGTAGTTTTTGATGCTACCAACTGTGGAAAACTATATTTGAGCTTTTTCAATTTCCAGAGGTTTTTAACACTACAGGATAGGGACCCAAAAGTTCCTATATAAACTTTTATTGGATGGCCAATGATAGATGTATTATAGAACAAGAGACACCCTTCATCCATGCTTTGGATTTCTTTTCAAAGGTGCCTGACTTAAAGATAACCATTCTTCATTTCTACCTGTTCCAAAAGAGGATACTTGAAAATATCAATGTGGGGAAAACTGGCCTCAGCACTTTTACTAAAATAGAAGACTCACAGAGACAGGTGAAACTATCTGATTTAGAAACATTATGATTTTGATCCATGAAACTGGTAGTATTTCACTATGTTGAAGTTTATGACTTTTCTAATCAACATTTCATTGTAACAGCAATAAAAATACAAACTATCTCAATTTTAATTGCCTGGGTTAATCTGACTTCTTTGTGGTTAAACTGCAGCTGTTTTAGTTACCTTATACCTTCTGGGGTAAAGCTATTTTTAGGCTTAAGAATCTCAGTCTCATTTTTAATTAAAAGCATGAAAGTTGAATAAATATACTGTAACTAGGTACCATACTAGAGATTTGATTGATAATACATGAGCAAATTAACAAGTGTTGAAATTTAGTCTGTGGATCTCACAAGAATTACTACCAGTAACAAAGTAAGGTGAGGGCATCACAGTGAAGGCAGAAAGTGGGAGTGGTCTATTTTTTTAATGGTAGAAAACAGAAAGAAATGCTGAAATGACACGAAACAGATTGAGAATAAAGTTCTCTATCGGTTTGATACCAGATTATAAAGAAAGTCTTTACGTTGCAAATGAACCAAGGCTCTGTTTCTCAAAGTTGGTTAAGAATTGGAAGATAGCTCTTGAATACAGATTATCAGGACAGAACAGCTGTAAATAATTCAAACCATGAGTCAGTTTGATAGTTCAATCTACCGTGTTTCCCTGAAAATAAGACCTTGTCTTATATTTTTTTGAACCGTGAAATAAGCACTTGGTTTTTTGTTTTTTTTTTAATTTGCTTTATATGCCGTCCTTCTCCGGAGACTCAGGGCGTCTTACAGTGCGTTAAGCAATAGCCTTCATACTTTTGTATATTTTTATACAAAGTCAACTTATTGCCCCCACAAACTGGGTCCTCAATTTACCTACCTTAGAAAGGATGGAAGGCTGAGTCAACCTTGAGCCTGGCGAGATTCGAACTTACTTTAATTGCAG